TCATGAGAGTAACACGGAACCAGGATATAACTTTGATTCAACACTGTATTGTGTAAGATATCAGTTTACCAAAATACTGTTGGTTAAGTGGACGGCATTTTACGAACAATGGTGTATAGTTTTTACACACAACGTGTTTACCACTTTGTCGTGTAATTATACACGGGATTTTTTTTTACTGTGTAGCGTTTTGGATAAAAATTATCAACTGAGGGGGGGGCAGGTCTACTGAGCCCATAATATGAACTGTTTCAAAAATGTAGATACAACTTCAAATGATTAGCCAGTGGATAATTTGCATACAAAAACTGAGAACATGATTATTTTTCATTATTTCAAGTAAGAGCAATAACCCCCAAATCAAAATACCTCTTACCTATTGTATAACAATTTGGCAATAGGTATTTACTCAATAATGTATTTTTTTATAATAAATATATCGTTTATTCCTGGTGGCCTTTATTTTATACATTATAGAAACTCGCCAGTATGGCTAACGAAACTTTCATGCAAAGTAGGTACCTATTGAAAATAATTATTGGTCAAACCACTCAAACCTTAAAATTTCGGGAAAGCTAATAATAGGTCTCCTATTTTAAATGAACCTAAGCAATTCAAACAATTAGGTACATTTCACAAAAATAAAAACAAAAAAAAAACTTTCTCAAATCACAGAAAAAATTATATATGGAACTGATAATTTTATGAGGATAATATCTATGTAATAACGATCATCATCAATTTTATTAAATAGATCTATTATTAGTACACCTGAAATAACTTTTTGAGACCTTTGTGCTACTGCCAAAACTATTAAGTTAAGGTATTACCTTTATCAATAATAATAATTATTGTTACACTACCTGAAAAAAAAATGTGTTATCGTTTTTAGAATGGAGTACATTTGCCTTTTTGAAACACCTTTTAAATTATTTCGTTACTTATGAAATTTTATGAACTAAATACTCTCTACACTATCCAACAACATATAATAAGAAACCTAATCATATTTCTTCAAAGCTTTTTGGCTTTGATTTTTAGCAACAGAAATGGACAAAAAACTACCTATTTATTAAAAATTAACTTTATTATTTATTACTGTAAAAGCTTATCGGCATAATTTTTTTATCTGAATTACAAAAGTCACTTCCTTATACACATGTAAATGTTTAAACGACAAAAGCTATTTCTGGCTATTAGTTATCTTCTTATCATTCTGTACTGAATCACAGAATTACTAAGTAATTTCGTAATTATTACCACAAACAACAAACTGATATAGGTGATGGTTCGGTTTGCAGTTGCAATGGAAGTCGTAAATATATCTTTGCCCAAATTTTTATTTCTGTTATTGTTGCCGTTATGATACGAAGTGTCTACCTTTTTGATTAGTGATGAGGGACTCTTTTTGGTTCAAATAATGCATTTTATTAATAATGATAAGTATTCTAAAAATCTCTTCATTTCCGCAGGTTGATAAGTGAGACTATACTCTTCCGAAATCAAGTAGGTATACTTCTTTATTTAAAACAATAACACATAAATCACGACAAAACTAGCACCATTACATTCCGTACAACTCAAATTAGGCATTAATCTTCACAAAACAATATCACCGTGACTAATAAACTTACTGATACAAGTGCTACATAACTCTTTTGTCCAATTCAAAACATCAGTCCTTTTGACTCGGCATCAACTCCTTTTGTATCACTTTGAGTTCCCTGTAATTTTATAGATAATTCCCTCATAGGAATTTCGTCTAAATACTTTCCATCGTTCCATATTCCGCTAGGGTAATTTCTATTTGGGAGGAGTCATCCCTGGGAACTACCTATGTGGAGTTACCAGATTGTGTACAGTTTTCCGAACTTAGTCAAAATGTACCTAAACTTGGGCCTTTTTCCTTGGATCTGCTCATTCTGTTGGCCCCAAACAGCTTCTCCTGGTCATCTGTAAGTCGATTCTACTGCCTCTGCCTTTCTCCGTAAATGACATGGTAGTGCGTATTTGTCATGAAAGAATTTGTACCGACCGACGATAGGACAAAATCCCGTCTTTAAAGTCAAATTTGCCCCCAAATATATGCTGCGAACCGTATTTGTCCCGAAACGTAGGTAATTTTCTGGACAGTTGTCATGCCGACCGTTGAAATCCCGAAAAATTGGTTGGACAAGCCCCAAAACCTTACAGCGTTGCCAATTACGTTCGTTTCTGTCGCTAACTTCTGTGATTAGTTATTCAATAACTAAAAACAAAAACTTTTCTCGAGATTTTGACAAGCTCTCATATTATCGGGGGGACAGCGGTTACTTCAAACATGTTAGTTTCAATAAGGGCCGAAAGACCTTTGAAATGATCGTAAATCATTTGAGCCCCATTCCTATGTAAGATTGGGTACATTCAGGCGGTCCCAGCGGCTTAGCTCAGCCTCTCAGCAGGAACTTTATTCTCGAAACCAAGAAACAGCGTTCTCATTGTAACGAAGGTTCTGTTTTTGTCGTCCGGCATAACACTGACAATGACAGAGCAATTGTTCTTATGAGAACGCTGTTCCTTCGTTTCGAGAATCGAGTCCCTGCTGAGTGGCTGAGCTTAGCCGCTGGGACCGCCTGAATGTACCCATTGTTTAGAGGGTAGCTCTAAGACCTCGTGGGTGTCCAAAATTTTTCGTTTCTGAGATAATAAACTTGCTGAGTCTTCACTGAAAAAAATGTTAGTAAATTTACAATGGTGTTTAGTAATTTTCAATAAAAAAAAGCAAGCAAAATCATGAACATTTCACCAAAATAACTGTAAACTGCCAAACTTTTTGCAGAAAGACAGAAAAAAGAGCGATATTACAATTTTTTGTAAAAGTACACGCATAATTTCACAAGGATTTTCCATAAATATTGTAATTTTAGCAATGAAGTTGCTTTTTTACAAATCACATTGTAAAATTAAAATATGAATTTACAACAATTCTGTGATTTCAAAAAATAACAATGCATTGAAGCAAAACTTTTTATTATTTAGCATAATTGTTTGTAAAATTCTGAAATTATTTGGAAAATTATCAGTGGATAATATTGATTTTTACAAGTCTTGCTATGATGGTATGCAGGTAATTCAACAGACAACACCAAAGTGGTTGGTGGTGAGTAAATGTGATGTGTTGAGAGTTGAAGATTTGATTTTGATTGATTTGAATTAAGCGTAAGTACCCGGTAATTATTTAATCTTTTTAACCACGTATGAATGCAATTTTTGTGCGTTTAAGTAACAAATGATTAAACTTTACAATTATCACCATTTTCAGATAGCGTCACCAAACCTTCCCTCCTATCCTCTTTTTGCTGTATGAGCCCAAGCAAAAGGAGGTGGCAGTTGTGAGTTGCATCATCTACCAGTCATGAGTAAATCATTAAACCAGTCAAAATAACGATAATATTAAAAATATGAATATGAATTGACAATATTAAAACATATTACAATTAATTTTTCGAGTTGAATATTTATTGTAAAGTTTTGACATTATCTTTCTGACGAAAACCCTGTACTTATAATTTTTTATTCCTTCATATCTATATTATAGTTTTAGGTTAACTTTTTTATGTTATTTATTTAAGTATAGATTTTTATAGTTGAGCATAGGATGCGCCTCTCTTATTTTTCTTTTGTGATAACCGAGTTTAGACTGTTTTATTTTCGCTTTTGTGTTTCCAGTGTTCATCATAATAAAAGTTATACCTACATAAGAGTGTTTTCCATATTTTATCAAAACTATAATTTTCAGGTTTATGGCGTTATAGCCGGGAGATAACAAGAAATTGGAACATCCAGATACATCATCTATTTGTAAATTTATCCGCACATTGTAAATTTACATGCTTGTAATTTTACAATACATTTTCAGAGAAATATTTCAAACTTACAACATTTATGTAGAAATAATAAATAAAATTACGAATTTTTTGCGAATTTGAAATATAAATTCACAAGTTTTTTTTGTAAAAATATTATTTAAAATTACAATCCTTTTGTAAATTTACAGAATTGAAATTACAGAGTTTATGTAATTTTACAATAGCGTTGTAATTTTACTTACAAAATCATTGGTTATTTTTTGCCAGTGATTTTGTAAGTAAATTTACAAAATAATTTCTTCAGTGTTTAAATGAATACCCTGTATTGTGATACATGCACGAGCAACCGAAGCTATGATTTCTATACCCCACGAGACTTATATGACAGCATCTCTATATAAGTTTAATAGCCCTGTTCGAGTTTGAAAAAAAGACAGTTCTAGAACGATTCAAAACAATCGCACAGTTTATCAATCAATAAAAAGGACAACGGCTCGGCTATCACAAATTTCAATATTAAACTGTGCGATTGTTTTGAACCGTCTAGAACCCTCCTTTTTTCAAACCCGAACAGGGCCAATGGGCCACTTTCACATTTTTCGAAAACATTTGTAAATTATTGTGTTTGTCCTCCTAACATCTCTATACTTTCTTTTTTTGGAAATAAAACGATTTTAAAATTGAATTTTTAAACTTCTGCGAAAACGCGGGATCGGAAAGTGACGTACACTTTCCGGAAAATGCGAGAATGCCGAATTTCTCATTATAAAATATTAAACCTAAAAACTATTTTCGTCCATAACTACGTTATAAACAAATAAAGGATAGGTATAATCGTTAATAAACTCATTAAAATTTCGTATTTTTTAATATGGCAACAAAATCATGAATATCGGCTTTAGCCAATAAGACGGCGTTTTCAGTCACGTGATTTTTTGTTCAAATTTGCTATTTTTAGTCAACAATTTATTTAATAATCTGAATAAAATCTTGCAAAATATTGTTCATTTTCGGTTGCATCCATGTATCTGCATCAAAAATATAATAATTTGCCATATTCCTGGCGCGTGGAAGTGGCCTATTAGACCAGAAACTCCTCGATTCAATAGCTCGACTGGAAATTGAAATCATGGTATTCCAATTTTTTTTCAGCACACCAAACCTCAAAACAACAACACCTCAAACGCGGACCCAACTAAAACTTCAATTAATGCGCGACCAAGCCATCCTGGAACAACAAAGACAAATCGCCGAAAGACAACGACAGCAAGAGATAAAACAAAGTCAGAGACCTCCGCCAGCTCCCGTTAAAGTACCTTTGCATACTCTAGCGGTAGAGGTTCCACCCCAAGTTCTCGAAGTTCAAACGAAACTAGAAAATCCAACGAGATACCATGTGATGCAAAAACAAAAAAGTCAAGTCAAGCAGTACCTGAGTGAATCGTTTCAAGGTCCCTGCCATCCTACGTTCCTACCCGATTACCAAAGAAAAATGACTGTCAATCAAACGCACAGTGCACCTCCATGTGGTACGCAAAATCTACCTCAACAGACGAATATATCGACATGTCAGAATCAACCGTTTCATCAACAAATATCTCCAAACTTTGATATTCCCTCTATGTCTCCTGCGTTAAGCTCTGGAGCTACTAGTACTTCTGAGGTAAGTAATATTTAGCTTTTATAAATAGCAATACGATGTTAACAATGTTCTTCTGGTGGTTTGTTTTGGATACAAGCTAAGAAGATAATTCTCATTTCCTAATCAGAAAAAAGAAAATGATGTTGACGTCGACAATATCCTTGAGAAGAACAACTTTTTATAACCATTCGAGGATGTTTTTGAGTAAAAATCTATTACTCTCCTACAGAGCTGGGCAGGGCTTGAGTGCTTTGTGCTTGTGAAAGTGCTTGAAGCACTTTGAAGACTTGAAAGCCCTGTGCTCCAAGCCCTTCTATATATTTGTAATTCGGGCTTGCAAAGTCAATTACTTTAGCAAAGTGCTTTGTAATTTGTAATTGAAAAAAAGTAATTCAAGCCCCTTCAATGAGCTTCAATTACTTTTAGAGGGCTTGAAGCACTTTTGGGTGCTTGAAGCACTTTTGGGTGCTTGAAGCACTTTTGGGTGCTTGAAACACTTTGAAAGGGCTTGAAGCACTTTAAAAGGGCTTGAAGCACTTTGAAAGAAATTTGAATTGACCATCATTTAACCTATCCTCAACTGAAAATTTCCGATCGATGTGTTTTATCGCTTAATTTTTTTTTTCTATTATTTGAACTAGAACCGTCCAATGTCTTTTCTCTCTTAACAATGGAGGTTTTGGGTTTGAGCTTATAATTGAATTGAAAAAAAAAAAAATGAACTGATTATTCAAATAAATAATTAATTTATATTGGTACCCTATTTAACTTTATCACTGGATTTTTTTTCACCTTTCCTCATTAAACATTTTGAAAACCTTAAAATTGAATTACCATGTAGTACCCCAAGTACCTCAAAACTACATCTCAAAAAAAAATAAAAATACTGAAGCTATTTTGTGAAATTTAAAGTTCATCTCTACTATACTTATTCAACTGATGAGTGTACGCGGTAGCTTATGCCACTTTGAGAATTTTATTACAAACTCAAAGTGCTTTAGGCACATTTAAAAAGCTTCAAGCACATTTGAAGAGCTTCGAGCACATATTTAAAGAGCTTCAAGTACATTTAAAGAGCTTCAAGCATATTTAAAGAGCTTCAAGCACATTTAAATAGCTTCTAGCACATTCAAAGAGCTTCTAGCACATTTAAAGAGCTTCAAGCACATTTAAAAAACTTCAAGCACATTTAAAGAGCTTCAAGGCACTTTTTAAGGCACCCCAAGCATTTTTGATGGGCTTCAAGCACTTTTCAAATCACTTTGAGTGCTTTGTGCTTGCGAAGCACTTTTGAAAGTAAAAAGCAATTTGTGCTTGAAATTGAAAGCACATTGATAAAGGGCTTAGGGCTTAGTGCTTCAAGCTCTTTTACTGAGGGCTTTGCCCAGCTCTGCTCTCCTAATATGTTTTGGCGCGATTTTCGAAATTATCTTTGGATGAATTGTGAAATAAATGCCTTGTACGTGAGATAATTGAATCACATCATAAATTAAAAATATTACATGATACATAAAAATTATTGTAAGACGATATTGAATTAAAATAGGGGTACCAACCTACTTAGATGACAAACCATGGTTTTTTAGTACCATAAAATATTATCCCGGGGCTTTCGTCAAATCCCAAAGCATTATATACAGATAAACTAATTTCGGATAGTTGATATTTATTTCTATTATTTTTTTTTTCAAGCTTCTCGAAATTGGTGGGGTATTCAAATACATACTGAAATAAAAATATATGAGTATGTAAATAAAGTATTATCAGCATTCAGCAATCTACACGCCATTAGGTGAAAATATAGCGATTTATTCGCGCCTCCGCCAAGTATCAAGATACGAAGTACCTATACTGTTAAAACTACCTACATCACCATGCTTGGAATTTGTGATGAAGCACAACGGTTTTTCCTAGTTAAGTGGAAAACACCTTGTTTCGATTTAGTTGATTTTTGTAATAATTGTTTATTATATTTTATTAATAAAATAAAAAGCTCCAGGGATAAAAAAATTTAAATCACTATAACTATATTTATAAAAGTTAAAGCATAGAGAGTCAAAATTTTTGACATAAAAAACCGGCAAGAACAGCAAGAGTAACGATTTTTATCTTAGACTTCTTCCAGCTTATACATAATGGCCAATGGGTCCAATGATCATCGTCTCTCTCTACTCTCTCTCTCGTGTTTATTGTATAGTCTATCGTTTCTCAATTGAGACAAGGCAAAAATTGGGGTCTCCTCCAATTATCGTATTGCCCGTTAAAATTATTGTACTATTATTAGGAAAAATATATTGAGCGTGCCCGTATACATTGGATGCGAATCCACTTGCGAACAACGCATCTTATTGGTTGTTTTATACAGTCAACGTTGACTCCAGGAATATCTTATTGGTTAGAATTTTTAGCGGCGTATTTCTTTGAAAAGGCGGCTTATTTGGCGGCATATTTCTTTGTAGCGGCCCCCATTTGCGAATCAGTTTCGTCTGGAAAGACAGTGCAGTAGATAGTTTTTATAAATTTGATTCCTATTTGAGTTGCATCGTGCCTCGTGTTTTATTTTATATAAAACTTTTTTAATAAATTTCCCTTACTCCGCCAGTGCTTCATAAAGAAAACGCCGACGGCCAAAGGAATATTATTTTTTTTACTGTCTCATTTGACTATCGATAGACTATACTGAGGTGATGGGTCAGACATGAGATTTGCAGGCGCCAGATTTTTACTATGTTGTGAGAACCCAAGTAAATGCGGATCCAGCAGGATTAGATCCACTGGACCGTCACTTGCAGATAAGCCATATTTTCGAAATTCAAGGTATAAATGTTTGCGCAGTGACAAAAAATTTGTCATTCTTTTTGCACATCGAATGCATCTTCGTTTCTTCTCATATTCTTTTCTATTTTTATTCAAGCTCAATTGCTATAACGCTTTAATATGTTTGACGGTGCCATACATATCTTTGAAAATTTTTTGCTTATTGTAGCAATTATGAATATTTTCATCCAAAAAAGCAGAATAGCTATGGAAGGCTAAGCTCCCAGCTTCTAGATTTTTAGGAGAAGTCATTTTCCAATTAATGGTTTTAAACTTGACTATACATGGTGTTTGGTACATCGATAGAAAAATTTCAATGATAGTTGGGGTCATTTGGAAACTGTTTGACCATATTTACCCTCATAAAAAGTTTCGCCGTTTCTTGAGATATCGCCATTTTTAGATATTTTGAATCCATGTATAACTTGGGCTACATATTTTTATCGATATATCGAAAAAAAAATTGAAAATGATTAAAGAAAGAACAAAGAAACAAAGAAAAAATGTTTCAGGAACAATTCAAATATTTCCCAAAAATATCTAAAAATGCTGATATCTCAAAAACGACGAAACTTTGAATGAGGGTAAATGTGGTTAAGCTCCCAAATGACCCCAACTATCACTCATCGAAAACTTCCTATCGATGTACCAAACAACCTGTATACAGCAGGATTTATTATTCTGTTTGATACGTTGCTACTTAACCGTTCATACGTAATCATTTTATTTATTTTCGATAAAAAGTATGTTACAAAATTTAAACGACGAGTACTTACTTATACAATCATCAAGAATAAAACACTAATTAAACAATGTCAAGCTTCTGACCCGCTTTTGAATGATAATATGTAATTACATTGCAAATCACGGTCTCTTACCTGCCAGCGTCTTTATCTATATCAATGTTTGATCCCTATGAATTTTTCTGGAATTTGTTGATGCAATGCGATGATTTTTATCGAAGTAATAAATATAAGCGATCAGACAAGCTTAATTTTATTACTGAGATTCCCTTTCTTATTGTTATTATATGCATTATCAATGATCATCTCATCGGTTATTGCCGGTATTGCTAGTCTACTTACTTATGGCTGAAATCCGCTATCTTCAAACCGATTAACTCACTTAATTCGACAGTATTATCTCCTTACCTCTATATTGAAAAGTGTATTGAAGAAAATTAAACTTACCACACACTTGAAATTTTATTGTCCAAAATGTTGTTCAACCTCTATCGATCGTAACTAACTCACGGCAGAAAGCTTTTCGAAAGTTGAAAATGAGCTCAAGCTGACGAAAGTAGGAAAATCGTTAAAGCTCTCAAATCACTTGTGACCTGACTTAAAACTTGGAGGTAAGTAGTTAATATCGTCCAGAAGTGGGAGTGAATGGTCGCCGGAATGTTTCAAATCAAAAAAAAACTATTGAGAACATTTTCAGCAGAAAGTCAACTTCCGTGTATTTCTATTTGTGATGTTTCTAAATAGAGCGTTTTCAATTTCGGAACTCCCCCTGAATATGTTTCTGGCTTCACTATAAAAATATATGACCCATGATAGATATATTATGTCCACAGTCTGTGGAATACTGTTGTAGAGACTTTGGTTGTAGCTCCTGGACACTTCTGAAAATCGGAGAGTCTTGTCCTATTCTGGTTCTTGCAAAGGTATTTCTCAACATTTCTTTGTATTTGGTATTGTAGCTACGTCCATTTGGCTTTGAATTGACACAACTCTAGATTTGAGTAGCTCCTATTGGATATACCTATTATTAGGCTTGATTTGAACAATTCTTTCGGTGGATGTTTTGATTTGTACGACTTTTACCAAATTGTGATTAGGCCAAGCTAGATTAACTTGGACGGCAGCGAGCTTCTAACGAGTTTTCAAAATAAATTTGTTTCTCTAATTTGGAGTAGTACAGAAAATTAACTTGGCATTCTTTTAAACTTCGTAAATGCTCTAGTTCAATATCGTTTGAATTGTTTTGTCAATGTTCGCATTTCTTATGTATATAGGGGTCAGCTTAGGTTTGTAGTGTGTAAACTTTCCAGTTCAGTCCCTGTTTCTTCCACATTAATTTTCAATTCAACTCAACAAAAAAAATAGCTTCAGGTACATACCTATATGAATGAGATGAAAAATTTTGCACACAATGTATGAATCTGAAATGGTAATTTATAGCAGGCATTCCAAAATAATTTT